AGTCTAGTCTAGTCTAGTCTGGTCTGGTCTGGTCTGGTCTGGTCTGGTCTGGTCTGGTCTGGTCTGGTCCGGTCCGGTCCGGTCCGGTCCGGTCCGGTCCAGTCCATTTCCTCTCTTTCTTTCTCTCTTATTCTTTCCTCTCTCCATCCCATCCTCCCTCTCCTTCCCCCTCTCCTCTTTCTCTCTTCCTCCCCTGCCATCCCTTCCTTCCTCTCTGCTCCCTCTATTTCTCTAGTAGTACTTGAAAGACTATCAGGAAATCCCACGGCTGTAGGGTAGACTGTGAAGTCAAAAATTCACCCTGAAGGAAGGTGATGGCAACCATTTCCATACTGTTGCCAGAAAGAATACTAGGATGTGTCCATGCAGTCCTCAGCAGTTGAGCTCAAGTTGAGTGAGACGTTGGCTTACCTTTTTGAGAAGCATACTCTGCCTCCCAGGCACTTTTAGGATTCACGGGAACCTCCTACAGCTTGCAATTGGAAGTGGTATTGTCCTCTCTATTCCAGCTCATTCTGCAGGATATGATGAGCAGGGGTTGGCAAAAAGAAGAGAAAAAAGAAGGCTCTTCCACTGAATCTGTGAAAGGTCAACAGATTAGGCTTTCTCCATCTGTCCCTTAGCCAGCAATCATTCTGCTTACTACTTGAACCTTATTAAACTTGGCTAGATATGATAAAGTTAATGTTACGATAGAGTGCCTGGAGTTTGTTTTTCCTTGCTCCCTTCCTCCTCCATCTCTTCCTTGTGTTCTGTGTCTTTTAGACTGTGAACGTAAAGACAGAGATTGTGTCACTACTGATATGTCTCTTTTTGCCCTTCTCTAGTCTATTTGTACAAGGTTTCTGTTTTCACGGGTGATATTTATGGTGCTGGAACAGATGCAAATGTATTCCTGACCATCTACGGAGACTTAGGTGATACTGGGGAGAGGAAACTGAGGAAGTCTGAAACAAATACTAACAAGTTTGAAAGAGGACAGGTACTGGTGAAACAATCTTTTTTTTCTGGCTGCACTGCTGATTTCCAACCAGTGTCAGTCAGTCATTCATTCATTCATTCATTCATTCATTCATTCATTCATTCATTCATTCATTCATTCATTTTAAATCCCACCTTTCCTCAGGACTTTAAGGTATCATCCATAGAATTCCCTCCTCCAGTTTAACAACCACCCTGAGGGATGTAGGTTGTGCTAAGAGACTTTTAACGGTCCAAAGTCACCCAGTAAGTTCCCATTGCTGGTGGTGGATTTGAACCCAAGTCTCCCTGCTGTGCTGGGGCTACTTGCTGGAGCCCAATCTTCTCTCAACATGGCACCCAAATTGAACAAGTAAGTAAATATCCTCCAGATGTGTTGAGAATGTATCCCAGAATTTCCAGACAGTATGGCCAAATCTATTGCCATACCTGTGACTTATGCAAGTCTCTTGGAGCCCCGTCCCCCCCAACCAGCTTTATTTCTTCTCCCTGAATTCTATGCAATGTATTTAATTCTGTGGTGGGGTCAGTGGTCCAATCAACAAGACATACAGGAGAAACCAAATTATTGATAACACATTACTGTTTTGTTACCATGAATGATGAATCCATCTGATCATCTCAAATATGGAATCATACGTGGTGGAGTGCTTTGTGAAGGGCCGAAGTGCAATGGTTGCCATTCCCACCCTATCCTGAAAAGACCCTGGACCTCTGTATTGATTGTGGGTCTGGATTTCAGTATTTAGACAGGATAGAAAGCAAAATATGATGTTCAGAAGTCTTTTATGAAAGGTTTTGGTCCTACAGAACCATTGATTTGGTCCTAAGAACTTTTGATTCTCTACCACTTAAGCCAAATTATTGTCTCTCTGAAGTAAAGAAGGGATACTAACAGGAAGTGACTAAGCCTCATCTGATTCTCCTGTGGTTCACACACTTAATTCATGAATGAATTAGAAACTGAAACTTAAAGGTATGCCAGCCTCAACATCATCTGACCCATACAGTAAAAACTGGGGTTGCCCATCATTTGGTGACTCAGCCAACGGGTTCCTTTGCGGTGACTCCCCAATGTTACGGAAGTCTTTGCAGACAGAAGTGCAGCTCCCCTCCACCATGTCCGCCCTTCACCACCAAACAGCATAAAACCTGCTTGTTCCCCTGGACGTTTGCAAAGTAACACTACCTTCAAATAGTGGCTAGGCTAATTAATATGTTCTAATCTGGCCAAAGGGTTGTAAATTGCCCTACATCCAGATGTTACACTTTTAATATTTTTCAGCATTATCTTTACACCACTCTGTGCAAAGGCCTGCTGTGCCTTACTCCGCTGGCAGCTGGTATACAGTTGTATTTATACTGGTATATATTAATATAATCCTCCTTCACAACAACCACAAATCATCGAATGTAAGGGTTGGAAGGGCCTCGGGGATCATACAGTCCAACTCCCAAGCAAGTGTAAGAATCCACCACTGCAGCATCCCTGAGAAATGGATATCGAGCCTCTGTTTAAGCACCTCCTGTGAAGGAGAGTCCATCACCTCATAAGACAGTTTGCTTCAATGCTGAGCTCTTACCATTAGGATATTTTTTCCTGATGCACAATCAAAACCTCCTTCCTCATAATTTAAACCCATTACTTCTGGTTCTGACTTCTGGAACAGCTCTGAACAATTCTGCCCTATCTTCTACATGACATAACGATTAAGTGGCCTTTGAAATACATAAAATAAGTAAATACATTGACAGTCCTTCAGATATTTGAAGACAACTATCAGTCTTCTTTTCTTTAAGCTAAATCCATCCAGCACTTCCCAACCATTCTTCATAAGCTTTTTCTTCCAGGCCCCTTATAATTATGTTTATTCCCCTCTAGACATATTCTAATTTGTCTATGATCTTCCTAAAATGTGGTACCCAGAAATGGTCTGACCAATGCAGAATGGAGAGGAAATATGATTTGTCTTGATCTTGGAACTATATTTCTGCTGAGGCAGCTTAGGTTTGATTTGCTTTGCAGTTGCTTCACACTGTTGTCTCATGTTCAGCTTATGATCAACCAAGGCACCATGATGATGGGGTGATGGTGATGGTGATGACAACAATGATACTATATCATCATCGTTATCATCATCATCATAGACCCTTTGGATCTTAGCTACAGAATTTTGCTGCATACTTTTGTTTGTATAACAAATGCACTCTTGAAGACCAGCCAAGAATTTCTCTTCCATCTCCCATAGGAAGACATATTCACAATTGAAGCTGTGGACCTTGGAACCATCTACAAGATCAAGATCCGCCATGATAACACTCTGCCAAGGCCAGATTGGTATTTGGAGAAAGTTGAGATCCTGAATGATGCCACTGACAGCTTGTACATTTTTCAGTGTGAACGCTGGCTGTCAAGAAAAAAGGAGGATCTAAACATTGAACGGATCCTTTGGGAAAAAGTAAATCTTGATATTAGTAGGCCTTCCACATCCCTAAGATTTAGAGGGCTAGAAGGTACACGATAATTTTTTTGCAGAGAGTCAAAGGTAGGTTAAAAGAGAGATGAGCATTCATGATGGTCACATTCACACAACATACAATGGTAAACTATGGTAATCAGTTTGTGGCTAAGTGTGTTGTTAGAACTATTCATTGCAGTAAGTGGTAGTATGGTTCGTTTGGGCATAGCCTGTTCTGTGAACACAGCAACTGCACTTTGCTAACCCAGATTTAGGATTTAGAATAATGGGTAAACTCAGCCGATGTGTAGCCAGGTAGCATAACTAGGTGAAAGACCAGTTATTATTTAGAAGCTTCTGGAAATCCCCAGAAGTACCAGTCATGAGGTTTTCTTGGTTCTGATTAACTAGTTGAAGCTATTTTGTTATAACCCAGAGCCAGAGAAATTTATCTTCTTATTTTTGGCAATTGGTGTTGGTATTTGTTAAAAAGTCATCTTTGAAGGGCTCTTTCTATTCTGCTGAAAATACAGCTGCAACTAAGTTCCAGATGTCGTATGCAAGCAGGCTCGTGCTAGATAAAACATATGGGAAGTGAGATATTTCTCAAACGATGTACTTTTGACTCTCTGAAAAATTGTATTTTTATCTTCAGCCTATCAGTCCTGCAGGGAAAACGAAACCCAAGACTGTTGCTTTTGATGGAACGCTTGGGTTTCAGCGATGGAGGGGGAAACGGTTCTGTTTTGGAAAAGCAAGGTTACATCAAAGATCAAAGTCGCCTTCCTGGATATAGTCAAGGCTGAAAAGGAAAAGAAAATAATGTCCCTTTAAGGCATTTTCACTTTTTTTTTTTTTTTTAAGCGGGGGGGGCAACTTCAGGCACATCAGCATCATTGTACACATGATGCATCTTGAAGTATGTGCCAATTTTGATGTATGTTTTTTTTTAAAAAAGGACTTTACTTCAGTAAAGGATAAAAAGACAAGAAGGAAAAAGAGAATAACAAAAGAAAAAAAATATATACAGAAGGAAAAAAGTAAAGAAAGTAACTTCCAACTTTCTTTCGTACAGGTATAAAATATATTCACCTCTTACTCTAATATTTAAAAGACTACAATACGCATCTGAATCAACAAATAATATAAAACAGATGGATACAAAGTATCTCTCTAATTATAAAATAAAACAGTCATCAAACCCCAAAATCAATGTTTCATTTTTTTGAGTCTCAAGTAAAAAGTCCAAGTTGTTTATTTTTTTAAAAACTTTTTTGAAAAAAAGGGAGACAATGGCATGCTGTCCAACAAAATGCCAGCTTCAGTTTCTACGTGGCCCTTAGAAAACAAAATGAGTGGCTGGCTGCAGCCCTCTGCTTCATCCGCAACTGGGCCCACTCTCATTCTACCCGTCCCTTTTGGTGCCTTGCCGAGGCCCCTCCCCACCCCCCAACTGAGCTATTGAAATTTGGTGGCTAACATTGATGAAATCTCCTGGGATTTCTTGGAAGATGAAAATAAAATGGATGCATTAAGCTGTTGGTAAGCTTCACATTCTAAAAACCCAAAGCTCCCAAAATACCATCCTACCTCTTCTAGTAACACCACGGCACCATTACCCTATCCATCGTGTTCCTTGCCAGACAAAATAATGAAACAAAAAATAGCCCCTTGATGCAAAGGATTCTAAGGAATTACACTATGCCTGCAAGGTCTTTCATCTCCTCTCTGTTAACAATGCAGATGACCTAGTTAAAGGAATCCTCATTTGTTTCAACACACCAATATTAGTGGATTTATCTACTGTTTAATTTGGCACGTGGGTGAAACTGTTAGTCCAAAGTCTCCCACTGACCCCCCCCCCCCCCAGGGAGCAAGCACCATTTCACATGCATTGTTCCAGTTAAGGATAGATTTGTCAGCGCCCAGAGTCAGTTTTTAACGAGATGGGTGGTGACAAATTTGACAAATAAATAAATA